GTTGTCATGGTTAAATAAACATATCTATGATTCATAATAGATTTTCCTTGCCATTGAAAAATATTGAGTAGCGTGCTACGGTTTTTGTTTTTTAATGTTTTGACTTCATAATTCCGTACATTCACGATCTAATTAATTTGGTTAGAACGTCAATTATAAATTAAAACCACCAACTACTTAAGTCAGGAAGTTATTTTAAATGTAACTTTTTTATTTAATTTTTACTCTCTACTAGTTAGCGTCCATATTTGTCTAAAGTCGTACAATGACTGGCGACTGCCGTAACAGTGCAAGCGATCTGAGGTGGGAAAAACAAATCGTAGCATATGAAATAATATAACAATATTAGGTGCCCACTCTGTGTAAGTATGCTCGGCGCGGCGTGTGTGATTCCGTGCACAATTATTATATTAATTAATCGCCATAGTGCAGATCACGCATTTTTTTTTTTTTAATTGACTATAATATATACGAACCTTATAGTTTTACAACGGTCTCAACTCATAATACTTGACACTATTGTACACTATCTATTCTATTTATGTTTGCGTAATATGCGATAAAGAACAGTAACAAATTCGAAATAATCATAGATATCATAGATAGTAATTATAGTAATCGTTAATTTTATACTTGCACCTCGAAGTGCTCCAACGCAGACTTTCGAGGACTATTATGGCATGAACGTCTAACTTTTATTTTGATGAATCCGATAACCACACGACATCGAATTTCTACGGGTTGAAAAAATATACGCGAAAGAGTTTGTCGTTATTATTGTTCTAAAAAACAAAAACAAAAAACATACGTCAGATCATAAGCGTTTAAAAACACGCTTTGAACATAAAAATAAATATTCTTTTGAGCTCAACAACGCAAACAAAAATTAATGAGACATTATTAATTTTGAAAGAAGACGATTAGCAATACTGACTGCCGTGCTCACGCCGCGGTGTTTAAAATAAAATAAGTTTTGAATAGAATGCCAAAACAAAACGGAAAATGGACTCGGCATAGCTCCAACAAGATGCGTTAGACAATCAAAAAAGCCACGCTAAGTACATTCAAAAAAATTATGTTGGTACCTATTTTATTTTTGTCTGAGTGAAATAATACTTTTGTAGGAAACCGTTAGAAGGTGTCAAATTTGTAGAAATTATTAGCAATTAAAGTAAATTCAAACCATTAGCATTTCATGACGTTCAAGTGCATTACAAATATTGGTACTCGTCGTTTCTTCAATTGAAATTAATCAATACTCGTGGGGAATTCAAATAATAAGTAGTTGTGTTAGATATATTTTAAAAATAATTTCTTATAATTACGTAATAAGATTTATCTAAAAAATAATAAATAAAAACTTACTACCTACAATAATAATTGAATATATTGTACTGGTTGCAAAGAACAAAAAAAAAAAAAATTATAATAATAAAGAAAAAACTAGCAAATATAGATAAAAATAATGCATGTATCATATACATATAAGTATGAGTAGTTTGTGTTATAGACTACATAAAGTACCTAGATTAGTAACTTTAAAATCTATTAATAACAATTGTAACTGGACATTTTGTATACTACTTAACAAAACTTAAAAAAAAAAAATGAATATTATACAATGATAAACATCTAGAAACAAAATTGTAATACTATATTAAAAATGTAAAAGCAAAGTCACTATTTCCTTAGTTTTCCATTTGTATGAATGTAACTAACTTGGTTGGTTTTATGAACACCTATATTTAGATCTTCGTCTGGTCCTAAAAAAAATTTATAAAAATTGCTACAACTATAATATATCTTAAACAAAAATCTAATCCTAGCCTAATTTCACATACCTAAAGTTACTATATTTTACTCCTAAAMAATCACTAGTTAAGTAAAAATTACCTTTCAAGTAGTGACAAAAATTTTTTGATTTGTCCCATTCTTCAACAAGTGACAAGTTAAACATGGAATAAGCTGCGTTACCAGTAACCTCAGCTTCAATATCTAGGAATTTTGGTAATCGATCAAGCAGCTCTTGGTCCTCAAGAGCAGAATACGTCTCAAGTAACACTAACCCTTCGCACCTAATACCAGAAAAACAATTAATTTACTGTTGATAATAAAACAACACAAGATATCCAGTGAAAATATAAAAAAGATTTTAAGTCATTAGTCACAAACCTTTTATGACAAGGTTTGCAATAAATGTCAAGCTGGAAATACTGATTGTAGTGTATAAAACATCGCCTTTTTTTATAGATAGGATAATGGGTTTCATCTTTTTGCGATAACAGATTTACATAGTCCCTGTGACTGAGCTGTGTTTTCACTTCTATTACTTGACCACGKACCCGAGGCCTGCGAATCGTATGTGTATAATTCCAATGACCTATATTAAGTAAAATAGAAGTCATAGTCAGATATGTTATGCAAGTACAGATGGATAAAGAACCTTTTTGTCCTCGTTTACGTAAGCGAGCTTGCATATTTGTTGTATATGTCTGCAAGTAGGTGTGTATGACCTTAAAATCTTGAAATGGAGGGAACAATTGATCATTAGGTAGATACTTCACTAACCATTTACGTTTTTTCGAGTTTGTAGCTAATCGATCACCGGTGTCTAGGCCCAGTTTCTGACAAACAGCCTATAAAATATGAATACAAGAATATAAATATTCTCAGATACCATAAATAATTGATTTAATGTTAATATTTACAGCTATCATTCTGCATATTTTATTTTCAAAATCGGATGAATTATCAATGACGTCAAAATATGGGTGTCCAATCCATGACGCTGACGCTTTGACATCTAGACTTTTAGCAAGAGACACATCCTCTCTTCTGCTCGTATGGTCCTGAAACGGATATTAAATTAATTTATGAAAAATATAATGGAAGAGTTTATGACATTTTTACCTCAGTTGTATAAAAGTCTTCAGCCCCACATGCAGCAGACACCATATGAATTATTTGATTATAACGATTGTCTCTCAAGTCAACCATGTTCAAACCATTTTCTTTCATTATCAGATCCCATTTATTAGAAGGTATATCTAGAAAAATAAACATTTAATTGTTCAATATTGTATTATTTGAACAATTGTACAAGTGTCAAGTAAAAAATTAGCATGTTCATTTTTTTGGACTAGCTAGGTTATCTATGATATACTCGTATTTTCCGGTCTACTAATTTTTAACTATTTATAAGGTCTAATTATATACAACCGAAAAAAAATGTCTAAATATCGTATTTTAACGGTTGAATAATCCCCAATGTATAATATTTTGTTATGAATTAATTTTATTAGATAAACAAAACAAAAGTAATTATTTGCAAATATTTGATAAAAATAAACAATGAAGGTTACCTAAAATAATTTCCTTAAATAGCAATATTGTTGTTGATCAATGATTATTATAAAAATAATTGAAAATATATTCTCTATCTCGCTTACAGTCTAAAATATTAAACAGCTGTCGAGAAATATAAAAAGGCTTAACTGAATATTATTTATTTTTTAAATATAATAAGAAAAATTTGAAGTGTTAACAGTACCGAAATGTAAACAATAGTATACCATTATACCACAAACATGTATGTTTTATATTTTATGATTCATCAATAACATAATTAAATGGAGGTTTTTGTTATTATTTGTATAACAGATAAAATAATACAATTAATATTTAAAAAATATTAATTGGTAATTTAAATTTTTGATTTTTTTTTCAATCTGTTCAGARATAAGATTTCTTGTTTTAATATTAATAACTATAATTCTTGTCGCTAACATTATTTTTATTTATTATATCATATAAATAATTGTTGTATTACATGCAGCAGCGTCCATAGCACCTCTGTCACAAATGATTAGACAGTCCTGGTCACATGATTCCCCCAGTTCAAAAAAAGTATTTTCTATTTGTAACATACATCTGAGAAGATTTTCTTGAAATTTATGGGCTGCAACAGAAAACAAAAATAATATTATGAGGCTAATGACAATAATTTTTCAAGGACATAACATGTCTAAATAGCATCAAGTTTAACCGCGTGGGCTCATCATTCCATCAGTAAGCATGGGAGCCCCCCCCTCATTACTTGATGTCTAATGATTTGTGAGGCTTTTAAAATCAATATTATTATACGAACCGCGAAACGTAACATAATACCATTGATTATAGAATCTATTCTATAATCAATGATAATACTATTTCAAAGGGGAATCCCCTTAGGGGATATAATACAAATATTATATGCGATTATAATAGAAATATATTATATCACATTGCGAATTTATGATGACCTACTAAGCTAGATTAAAATGCAGCTTAGGGATTACTAACTAATTCATGGTCGCAATAAAGGAGGTGTGTTAATTTTATCGCTGTATAAGAATAACAATTTAAAAACAGACGGAATATTATGACGTATACGGCATAAGTAATAGGGCAATAGGCCCTGTGTAAAAAAACATACTATTATAGTATTAAGACTGAATTTGATGGTTAGCCAAAAAATCATTTTTTTTAACCTCGCATTAAAGGATATAATTGAAACTCATATATAGCATGACTGAGAAAGATAAATGATCATATTATATTATAATTTCGAAATGTATTACCTTCGTCGTCACTTAATTCCGAAAATTTGATACCTCCGCTGTAAAAAAATTAAGATAAATATTAAAACAAATAATACATGCCTAAGTTTAATATTATTATAAAATTATAACTATTCAGATGCCTCAGATTAAACAATATTTTTAAGGTTAGCTAATATTCATGTTTTATAGTATAATAGTTCATAATATTTTGATTTATAAAATGATACTAGACTAACTGGAGCATAATTTAACTTATTTATTTTAAATCAAACCTCTGGTTAAGTGTGAACCCAACACCTTTGTAAAATAAACAGAAAATTGAATTTCAAAATTTAATTTATTGTTAAGTAAAAATAATCATAGCAGTTATATAAATTGAGAAAACCAATTTTGGATTAATTTTGAAAGTCACTTTGCCTTAATAAATCCTTTTGACAAAATATCGAAAACGATGATGAAAAATAAATAGTATTATATTTATATGAAATAATATGAAAATTAAACTTGTTTTATACATTTCTATTCTCAGAACTTTTAATTCATAATTATTATTAAAATTGAAAAAAAAATATCTATTTATTATTACCTTAATAGAACATTGGCAGTCTCTGGAACTCTGTAAACCTAAAATAAATAAAAATTGAACAAGATGTTATGCTTAGAACGGAAATAATAATTTTGACATTTACCTTCCATCCTAAATTCTCAAAAAATGTACATAACCGCGACTGACCCGTTGTCTTGCCACCACAAGGACCTAAATTTAACAAATTATATAGTTATTAAATATTTTTCCAAATTAAAAAGTGAATGCAAACATTTACATTCAAATAATATAAAGTATATTATTATTTATTTTTTAACAGTAATGAATAATAAGGCATCTTCATGAAATATTTAACATTTGTATTCAATTACGAGCACATTGTATAAATAATTCAAATTATAGATAACCTAATGAATTATGATTGACAAATTAAAGTAAAAAAATATTGAATTACGATATATCACATGCATGACAAGTAAATAAGTTATTATAGAATAACATTCTTATTTCGTACAATACTAATCAATTTACATTTTAAAGACTTCAATACGACTAAGAGTATAATTAGGTAACATATTCCGTATGTTTCTTTATGGCATCATCAAGAAAAAATAATATATATTTTATCATTAAATACACTAAAATATAAAAACACATTACACGTACGTACCGTAGATATATTATATTAAATATGTTTAATATTTAAATTACTCGTTCAAGAAGAATGTATAATGTTAATTGTTKTTCTATTTTACTATGAATTTATGAAAAATGAGGATTAAACTAAAAGTAATAGAACCTATCTAACTGATCTAAAAGAATATAAGTCACTATTATGTAGACATATTCATTAGAATATATAAATATTAAAAACTGAATATAATTACATTTTAATAATAAAAAGTAATTGTAAAAGTTTTAATAAAAATAGACAAATACAAAGGCATTTATTTTTATTTTTAACTATATACATTACAAAGATGGTATTTGATTATTCGTGCAAGTTAGAAAACAAAATAAAAATAATAACCGAGAATATTTAAATATATGAATTATGAAGAACACGCATAATTTATGATTATGACAATTGTACAAAATGTGTCTGTTCGTACTTAGGTAGGTTACAACTTTTAAGTATATTTGCCATTAAATAATCTTTTTGTGACAAAAATAATTTACGACAAACCTTGGAATATATCAAGCTAAATAACAACAATTATGAAGACCAACGGTTCAAACTTTAAATATTTACTTTAAAATGTATATGAAGTTGTGACAAGAACAATTATTGAATTATTAATAACGAAACTTATTACGTTATATAGATATATTTAGATAGGTAAAAATAGAAATTCGTCTTTTTCATTTCTAAGGTACCCATTAATTAATATTATAATTTATAACAGTAGAAAATATTTTAAATTTTAAAATAAAAAGAGGGTAAGTGGATGTTGCTCTGCTCTACAGTAGTTTAAAAATGGGTTACTGTAATTAGATGGTATTAAATTTGAATTCAATGATATAATATCATTGTCTACAAAGAAGGATACTGAGCGGAGACGGTTTGTCAGTCTAGAATATTTTATAGTATTGTACTATATTAATTATATTGCTATTATTCCAAAAATAATATAGGTACCTATAAAATAAATTCCAAATTATTCAAATCTGGTTCATTATGTACCAGGTTCACTCAGTCATTCATAATATATAAAATATGCTATAAAGTATAATAAGTCATTAACGAAATCAACTATTACAAATAGAGTTTAATATATATGTATTCTAGAAGTCTAGAAATTTCAAGTACCTACCCATGAATAATACTTTTTAAATTACAAAAATATTACTAAAATTGTTATTCTTGGTTATATGTAATTTCATTCAAATTTGAACTTAAAATAACTATAAAAAAAACTGTCACAATTTGAACTTTAAACGGTTATAAAAAAACGTGCCTATGCATTTTTAATATTTTCCAACTGCTATTTATCAACTTATGGGGAACGTCGTATTAAATTATCAAGTTTTTTGACTCAATGAATACAATTTTATTGATGTTAATAGAATAAAAAACTAAAAAACAGAAAATTTCAAAAAATAAATAACTTAAAAATCATGTAAACACACAAAAAAAACACAATATTGTTAAATCAATACATTTATCGCTCCGCTCAGAATCTAAAATATTAGGTGTAATTTTACTATAAGATATACGATTATAAATTACGTACAAAGAACAAATTTTAAACTAATTTTACTGCTTGACCTCGATGATTTTTTTAGATGAAATAATTTAAAGTTGACTAATTTTTATTATTATATATTGTAAGAACTATTTCGGATTTTACACATATATTAAACTATTGAGTAAGCTAAAAAACATCCATTATTACGAAAAATTATACGATCAAATTAATCATTAAAAAAGGACACCATATTACTAAATAAGAGAGATAACATCTGAAGATCAATTTCAATCAATAATTAAGGTTAAAAAAGCCTAATTACTAACAGTATAAATTGCGCATGATGGCTCATATTTTATAAATAAGATTTAAGACATTAAATGACTAGGATGTCAAGTACTATTTTTATAAGCTAAACATTTTGATTTCCAAAGCAAACAAGTGTTTCTTTCTTAAAACTCGATTCAATTAATTTAAGTTAAAATATATTTTTTATTTTAAAAGATAAATAATTGAGTATTCATATCAATATCACATTAATAACCTTTACATAGCCTTTTAGAAAAAATGTTTTATTTAAAATTGTATTGATTAATACACGGTCTAACGAAACTATCTATAGTAATTAGTTAAAAAATTATAATTAGAAAATTTGTAATGTAACAAATTTTATACCTATATATTTGAATAATTTTTTTTTTTTGACCGAAGAAAAACATTTAAAAAAATTAACAAATTAAGAATAATTTAATATTTTATTCAATAAATAGGGAAACTAAGCAACAATTGGATTGAATTATTTGAATTCTAACATACTCTACTCAATAATAGTTGAAGTAGATAATTTTAATAAACATAATCCTAATAATTAAAATACAGCTGTAACTTATAAATAATTGAAATAGTTAGACAATTACATTTTTTAACAATTGATTGGTAGCTATCCTTAAAACATTTCTGTTTGGGTAATAAATAATTTGTAGTATTCAATGCAACAAATTTTCCCTGTTCATCTTTATATATATATAACATATATTGTGTCATACGACATAAATTACAATTCATAATAGTAATAATATTGTTATTAGAATCACAAAGTTTATGATAAATAAAGGAAGCACAAAACAGATTCAAATTAGAAAATCGTTTGATGTGTTTGAATTTAATTATAACTTATAACTATTATGTAACGTAATATTGAATATACAAATGTACATTTTTTTTTCAATGGTGCTATTGACCACCTGTAGTTTAATAAAATTATACATACATATTATATACATTTTTTTTTTATTATAATAATTATACAATCTATACTTCTTAGCATAATGAGTATAAGTGATAAGAGAAAGAAAAAAAAGACACATGGTATTCATGATTAAGAAGTCACCCACTAGAGACTCTTTGCGTGATGGGAGATTTGGGAAGAAAGGTAATAAAAATTTTTTTTATTTTTTTATTTCATTTTTTTTTTCTGGAGAGGAAGAGTTGGAGTATTTATTGTAAAAGATCTCTGCACCACCTTCTTTTCAGTCGACGGCGAGGATTATCAGGAAATGTTAATTTATTTAAGTTATTGATTAGTGGGTTATTATGGTTTGCCAGACGTGAGAAGAATCGCTTGTAAAATAATACAGATTCCTCTTCTATTGATTTAATATTTAGATCGTTATGGAGTGTTATATTTGAAATGTATAATGGCGGAGCGTTAGTGAGTTGACGAAGAGTGATATTCTGATAAGATTGTATTTTGTTTAGATTCGATTTCTTGGCCGCGCCCCAGAGTTGAAGACTATAAGTCCAGATTGGGTTTAAAAATKTTTTGTAAATTAGCAGTTTATTTTTTAAGCTTGTGTATTTATTTTTTGATAGCATATACGAGAACGAGAGTTTAAAATTAATCTTTTGGATCTGATGTGTGGATTCCAGGTCAGTCTTTTGTCTAAGATAAGGCAACATTTTAACTTAAAAATGAAATACAACAATGATTTTTACATTGCGTTTAAAAAAAAATGTGTGAAGAAATAACTATAGTTATATATTACAGATTAATTATACGTTAACTGTACCTAAGCGGTAAATCCGATGAAAAAATAAATATCTTTGCTCAATATATTTTTGATATTAATAATCAATACTTTAACTTAACATACCTACTAAATTGCGATAATCAAAACAATAATAAATAAAATATTATTATACAGTAAAAATGAAATCAATGATATGATTATATGATATAGGTGATTAATGATTAGGTATAAAAAATATTTTTTTTTATACTTGTGAAAATTCATTTACAAGACTTAAGACAATATGATTAAATTATTAATTATTAATATGGCGTATTTATACACGCGGTCGTGTATGTCTAATTAATAATTACCATTTAAATTGTTTTAATAGTCCTTCAACTTACCAGTACTAACGTAGGTATAAGTATTTGCTTATTCAGAGCCTTTGTGTTTTATTTCAATTTCACGTGAATTGTGTATATAATTTTTACAATAATACTTTTCAAAAAATTGTTCTGAATTTAAATTGTTATGATTCATTACGTATATAATGTTCTGTTAAGCAGATATTTACACAATAAACATATTGATAACTTGGGTATGTTTAATATTAATCATCGGAATTTATTGTAAACGACACATAAAGAAACTGCCGTTATATCATATTATTTGTACTAATATTTAAAGTATAAAACGATAGCCAAAATAAAACTTGTTGAAAAATGAATATATATCAGTGACCAGCATAACTAACTTAGTTAAGAGTGGATAATATTATAATTACATGTAGCAATTAGGTAGTCAATTGATTTAACTGCATAAGCTACATTCTTAACTTTTTCACAACATACCAGTGGCGCCGAACACGTACTTTTATGGGGCAGCTCATCACTGTATTTAACTATGCTCTATGATGGTGAGTGTCTACTACATAATCTACCTACATAAATATTGGTTAAATATATATTTCAATATGCACACAAAACTATAAGATCAGTTTAAAAAGTAA